AAGGAAGTACTTCTTCACACAATGCACAGTCAACCTGTGGGACATGTTGCCATGGATGTTGTGAAGGCCAAGTATAACGGGGTCCATAAAAAGAATTAGATGAGTTCATGGAGGATAGGTCCATTAATAGCCATTAGCCAAGATAGCCAGGGGTGCAACCCCATGCTCTGCATGTCCCTAAACCTCTGACTGCCATTAGCTGGGATTGGATGACAAGAGATTGATCACTGGATAATTGCCCTGTTCTCTTCATTCCCTCTGAAGCATCTGGCACTGGCCGCTGTTGGAAGACAGCATACTAGGTTAGGTAGACCATTGGTATGACTCAGTGTGGCCATTCTTATGTTCTTACAAAGCAGTCTGTCAGGAAAACATCTAGAGACAAATTGATCGCAGTTTCAACTCCATTAACTATATTTTTATGTGCACATTTTATAATCATTGGGTCAAATTAGTCGTTTGTGTAATCCTTTTCGAATCAGTGGAGTCAAAACAGGTATGAATGTGGTGTATTATGTAGATTTGTACTATTGGTAACAGAAGTGCTAATAAGGTAAAAGGCCAAATATATCATTAGCATAATGACACTGATGTCAATGGGCTTACACTAGGAAGGAATTTGGCCCAATTTTATCACATAAGTAATATAGGAAGCTGCCCGTGCAAAGTACATTATGACATCTATCATTTATAACATGTTGCAAAATTAGTTTTGTGTCTTTGAAAAAGTCTTTTTTCTTGACAAGCAGAATATTTTCTCCCCACTCATCTGTAGCAAGACTGCTTCTTTATCCTTTATTAGCTTGTCTGAATTGTACAAAATAGTACACGAGTTGTGTATTCATAAAGTTCATCAACTTAATGTGGCTTGGATATCTACAGGCTGTTTCCCTGTTAAAAAATAATACGTTAAAAAAACAAAACCTGCCCTAGCGCTTAGGGAGTCTGTCTGGTTGAAGCAGGCAAGCATCTCCCAGAAACAAGTTTGCTTGCTTGTCTTTACAAGCCTGTTTGGACACAAGGTACCAGTTGATCATGCATTTTGGTGGTTTTGTTTCTGTCTTTGATTTCATTTAATAAATCAGTCATTTTTAAATACCAAGATGGGCTCTTGGAGTAAAGTTTAAAAGAGTGCAGTAATATATCACATTTACCCGTAAGCAGTTAACTTATTAGAGAACTGCATCCTCTTACATCAGGCCTCAATTTGGCTTAATGAGTAAAGTTTAAATGCCCTATCTATGTTACCAAAGTCCAAATATGGAAGTACAGCCTCCGTTTATATACATTTTGAGGTGACATCATTCTGTTCATGGTTAAATTTAAAAAAAAAAATCTATTGTTCCAGCTTAATTCTCTGTACGCTCGCCCTCAACTCCTTCTGGGTCTTTTCTTTTCCTCCTCTCTCTTCATCTGGATTGACAGTTAGATTTTTGAATTAATTCTTTATTCCCCTAAGGTACATAATATGATTATATTATATATATTTTGGCTCAGCTTCTCATGGACTTTTCTGATATCTTTTTTTTATTATGATGACGACATTGGAGTTGAAGCTTTATATGGGCTTCTGTGTGATATAAACATTTATCTGTTAGTTGAAATATTTTCTCTACAAATAATTTATTGGTGCTCTGTAGGGATATCAGATATTCCTCCATCTGCGGGGTGTACACAGTTAGTGATACAAAGCATGTATCACTTCTATCCAGAGAATGACAAAACAATCCAACTACTAGTATTTGCTGACATAAAAGAAAATGTTTAGTAGCAATAATCAAAAAATTTAAAAGCTCACAGATGTTTGTTATCAGTGGAGTTGATCTAATAGTGAAAAAGCTGATCACTGAATAAAACTATCAAGTTTGTTTCACGGGGACTCATGAGGCAATATATTTGTGACATGCAAATGACTTCGGGCTAACTCGTGAAAATGCTTATGAATCCTAAAAGCTTCACTAATTTTAGCATGAATGATTTTTCATACAAAACTGTTTCTGGCATTAATTGTTTATTGCTCCTTGTTTACTTGTTTAAAATGTTTCAGTGCTCCAATCCCAGAATATGAACGATGAATAGTCCAAGTGAACAGTTCACAATCAAAACATCATATTTGCAATAATTCATATCATTTGACTGCTCCAAAGGCCACTTTTGTTTACCCCCCCCCCCGGTTGATATGCAGATATAAATCTTGTCCTTCCATCAAACATTATTTTATTATTTTCAAAGCTCTTTGTTACTAGCACTTCTGTTTATTCAAAAAAGAAAAGATTAAGTAGCCCGACCTCATAGCCCAATGCCTGCTTTACAACCGCTCCAGTCACATTGCCTTAAACTCACCCTCGGAACAACTCAACGCAAAGCCTGGGTTAAATGGCCATTACTTCATTTAAATCCAGAATAGTAGGTTTAAAACAGAAATCAAATGTTTTTACTGTGAGAGCCAATATAGTGGGCATTGGGAAAGATCACAATGCCCCAGGATGAGGCACCTGATTTATTATATAGGGTGGGAGGCATCTCATATAAAACTACTTCAAATGCTAATCTTTCCTAACATGATCCGACTACCACATCTCAGGTTTATCACAGACAGATGAGCTCCAAACAGCTAGCCTGTCACTAATTATTTATAACCTCCAACATCAGAGAGTGTTGCTAAAGAAAATTGTCCTTTGACTGATGACCTTTGCTCACTGCCTGGGAGTCAAACTTACTAAATGACTTATCGGGAAAAGAAACATACTGATCAACACACTAACATCACACACTGCACTTTCTGATGAGGGAGAGTAAATGAGAGAAATCAGAGGGCTGTAAGGGGATAGAGAAAAAAGCCACTAAACTAGGATCAATTATGTTTTTCTGGGCTAAATGAAAAGTACTAGACAAAAGATTTCCCTCTGACCCTCAGAGCACAACCCAGACATCAGAGTACAGAGATGGATGTTAGGAATGTTATGATCCATAGCATATCAGCAAAGCTTTATACATTGTGCAGTACCATAGAATAGTAAGTAAAACTCTGTACATTGTGTTCTATAGTATAGTAACTGTTAATCTCTATTTATGACTGCAAACTCATTCCAGCTTTAGATAATATCTGGCAATGAGTACAATGGGAAAGATGCTATGAATGCACTCTAAGATTATCTAAGTTAAATTGATGGAAGGCTGAGATAATGTGTACTTTTCCTCTCTCTATTGCCTGTGCACGTACTGATTTTAAACAGTAGGTCCCCAGAGCTGTTGATCTGAAACTCGCAGCTATTTCAAGAGTGTTCTTTTTTGAAGCATGTAAAATGTACTATTTCCAAGACTTCCAACTATTTCTATATAATGCATGTGTCTGGTCAGTGAAGGATAACATACTCTATATAAATCTTTGCCTTGTCAGTGCATTCACTTGTTTTTTTCATTAGTATGTGGGGGAGGATAAATCTTAAGAATTAAAATAAATGACACAATATCAGAATTCAAGAAGAAAATAAATGCACAGAGTGAACAAAGAATGTATACGTGCAAATTATATTAATCTGTTCTGTAAAACTATATTGATTGGAAATGTTGCCGATATGGCTATAGATCTAATACAACTACAAAGTTAGACTAGGTGAAAATTAAAATAACTTTCTAAAAACATGAACTTTAAAATGCCCCATTTTTCATAACATAAAAGAGTTTACCTCAGTCCCAGAAAACACCAGCCATTCAGCCCTATGGTCCAAATCTGCAGTCCTTGCTCAGTCAGGCTTTCCATTGAGTCCCAGGTGAGTGAGGATTGAATCAGGATGGCAGGATTTGGCCCAGATGTTGACATGTAATTGTTTGCATAGAGCAATTTTACAAAGCCGTGCTGGATAGGGGTGCTGGAACAATTGTTATAATGGGGATGCTGAAAGCCATTGAATCAAACTGTAAATCCTATATATAATGGAAACCACTTCAAGTCAGGGGGTGCAGTGGCACCCCCCCCCCCCATCCGTAGTTCCCGCACCTATGATGCTGGAGAATCAAGCTGGAGTGCTCAACACTCAGTAGTTGGGACTATGTACACATGTGGGCAGGATCCCTACACGCAGTAAATTAACTAAACAGAGACTGCTTGTCACCATTTCAAATGAAACTGAAGATATGGATTGTTTGCTATAGCGTCTGTCCATCCTAGGTTTTTATAAATCACCAGGATACCTACTTGCTGAAGTTTTCACCAGTGGTATGACCAATCCTGAAGTCTCATTGCAGGCAAAACTCCCATTGACTTCAGTGAGTTTGGGGCTTATATGGAGAGAGTACAGAATTCTCCCTCTCACGCGCGTACACACACACACACACACACACACACACACAAACACTGCCAGCACAGTGACTGCATAGCCACTACTGTAGCTCATGGGCTGCGATAGAAGACATTGTTTGCTTTGCTCCCACTCCCCATTGCTTGCTTTGCCCGTGTTTTTAGCCATATAGTTTATCAACCTACTAGTCCCACCTGTGACCCCACTGCACTGCCTTGGAGAGAGCAACTGCAAAGTATTGATCCATAAATTGCAAGGGATAAAGATTCCCATTTATGGCCTCTCCAGGGTCAGATGCCCCTCACTCCTGTATCTTGAAGCTCTGCTAGCAAGTTCAGTCCTTTTGTGTCTGTGTAATGATGTCAGGCTCTTCCCCTAAAGGTCAGGTTTTCAAAAACTACTTGCACCAACAAATTACATACAAGCACAGTTGGGCATGAAAACTGAGAATGTGTGAACATAGCAGGATGTGCAAAGACAAGGTATGTGTGTGTTTGTGAATGAGCATCCAGGTGTGCATGCATAGGTACTTTTTGCTGGCATTGTTCAATTAGCAGTGTTTGGCATTGCTCTCACACATGAACAATTTTCAGCTGCCTCTTCATATTGAGTTATTGCATAATTTATTGCATCTAAATTAAGCTGGGATTTTTGTAATGTTCATGCACTAAAATAGTAACACTTGCATTTTGTTGACAGAAAGGGCTTCAAAATACTGTGATGAAACAGGAAATTGGTTCCGACATCCAGAGAGCAATCGGACTTGGTCCAACTATACATTGTGTAACTCCTTCACCTCTGAGAAATTGAAGGTAGGCTCTGATTAACATTTCAATATTTTCTGAGACTGATATTGAGCTGGGCCAACAGCATATTATCTGTGATAAATTTATATGATCTAAAGTTTAGCCAGAATATCGCAGATTAGCTGTAGTCTTGACAATGTAAGAGATGATCCAATTACTTGTTTTTTTGTGTACTGCCACTAAGGTATATGTTCTTATCAAGTATTTTAAATTATATATTGGCATGTGAATTCTGTGGGGAAAGGAGGTTGCTTCAGAATAAAATCTTTTAAAGGGGAGCATCTTCTTAGATAATTATTATATTTCAGTGGACTATAGCAATCTTAGGCCCTTATCCTGGAAATCCTTGAATTTAATGTGGCTGTTCACATGAGTACATTCATTTGTGTCAGTCTTTGCTGAAAGAGCAAACCCCCTGCAAGCCATGAATCAATGTGTTACTGTTGCTCTCTCCAAGAGATCAGAGAGAAACAGTAAATTCTTTGTGCTTCTATGGTATATTGTGCCATGCTGGTTAGGACTTGTTTCTGAGAGGTGCTGAACACCCACAACTCCAATTAATTTCATTAGGAGTTGTGTGTGCTCCACAATAGTCAATAACTTATATTGTAGGACAGACTAGATGTAATTTTTCTGGAAACATTTAGACCTTTATCTTGTAAAGACTTGCACGTGAGTAGCTCCATTGAAGTCAGTGGGGCTAATCACAATATGTAATGGTAAGCACATGCATAAATCTGCAGGATGGGAGCACTATTTTGGAACATATAGCCACTATGAATTTGCCAAAAGAGATGGTAATCAAAATGGGTACAGAGTATGGGAAAAGTGAATATAGAAAATGGTAAAATGATAAATTCAGAAAAAAAATAATTGTGTTTTATTTGTATAAAACATTGAACCCAGAATGTTGTGGTCTCTAGCAAATCTATGGATTGAAATGAATTGTCAATATCCATCAGTACATCAATGAGTTTTGAAATGTTTTTTGCTACTCTGACACTTTTTCTTTACTTCATATATATTCATTTATGGTAGGTAAATATGTATTATATGGACCCACTTCAACGGCTCATTCTATCCTTCCCATCAATGTGATCATCTGGTGATTTTTTTCCTCATTAAAAAAGCAGTTGGAAAACTAAATTACACAAAGGATTTCTAGTATGGTATTAAAACCTTTTACCTATAGGGTACAGAACTAGTTCCAGTTTACTTAGGATGATAGGAACTAAACATTTTTACCATCTAAATGCAGTTTATTACCTATCTAAAATTAGTTGGTCATCTCACTCTATTTTACACTGGACAGATATCAACATTATAGCATCTACTGTCTCCATAACTGACATAGAGTTAGCCAGATATGGAAAATATCCTATGAAATAGTGACATAACTAAGCCAAGGAAAGGATTAGAGCCGATCAAACATAAAAACTTAGGAATGGCCATACTGGGTCAGACCAAAGGTCCATCTAGCCCAGTATCCTGTCTTTTGACAGTGGCCAATGCCAGGTGCCCAGGTGCCAGAGGGAATGAACAGAACAGGTAATCATCAAGTGATCCATCCCCTGTCGCTCATTCCCAGCTTCTGGCAAACAGAGGCTAGGGACACCATTCCTGCCCATCCTGGCTAATAGCCATTAATGGACCTATCCTCTATGAATTTATCTAGTTCTTTTTTGAACCCTGTTATAATCTTATTAGCCTTCAAATATTTACTGTATAAATTTCAAGTGTCCCCCTATTTAATAGTATTTTTAAAATTATTTACCCGTCCCTAGAGCTGGGCTAATAACTGGATGAAGAATTTGTGATCAATTAATATAACTAATTTTGTAATAATAATTTTAAATGACTATTATTTTTACTTATTTGCCCAATGCTAGTAAAGATGCAGTTTAATATTTCATTTGAAGTTACTGTGACAAGCAACTCCAGCTGTTGATGATACACCTCTACCTCGATATAACGCTGTCCTCGGGAGCCAAAAAATCTTACCGCGTTATAGGTAAAACTGCGTTATATTGAACTTGCTTTGATCCACCGGAGTGTGCAGCCCAGCCCCCCCGGAGCACTGCTTTATCGCGTTATATCCGAATTCGTGTTATATCGGGTCGCATTATATCCAGGTAGCGGTGTATTTCTCCTGGGCTAGATCTTAGCATGACTTAAAAAAAAAAAAAAAAAAAAAAACCTTTAAAAAAAAAAAATAATTGCCCTGTGTTCCAGCCCTTTGAAAAGAAGTTGATATAAAGACACTGCTTAGCCAGAAAGTCCTACAAACCTGCATACACTTAACTTTAAACATGTAACAATTCCACTGAAATCAATGGGCCTACTTATGTGAGTAAAGTTAAATATGTGCATAAATTGTTTGCAGGATTAGGATGTTAACCTTGAGGAGAGAATTAAGAATACTGAACCAAGGTGACACAGAAAGAGACAAGAACCAAAAAATGTGAGGAAAAGCTTTAAAAAAATATAAACTTAGAGGCGCTTATGAAAAGCAACACATTTCTGAAATCTGAGTGGCGCTCCAGAAAAATGTGATTACAGTAAATAATTTATGACTCCTTGGAATTCTAGAAGGAAAAGAGCCAGACCATCATTTGGTCTTGTTTTTTAAACAGCTACCTAAATGTCTGTGGTTATACTTAGTAACGGTCCATTCTACAGTGTATTGGACTGATCTGAGATGATTTTTTTACCATAAAGAACCATCGGTGTAAAATGTGTTAACCTATGTGTGACAGAGAGAGTAATAGTAACAACTATTATAGTAATAGTAGCAACTTGAGGTCCCAGAGGCATTGCATAAAAGGACCATGAAAACTTCATTTTTCTAGATATTGGCACAATGTCGAGAGGCAAAAATGTAGCTCTGTTGCCTATTAAGCATGCCTTCCAGAAGAAGAATTTTGAACATAATTCAGCCAAAGTGCAGATAAAATACAAAGGAAACTTTTGCATATGTTAGTTTCTTTCTGCATTTTCCATTTTATTTTTATGCGGCAGGATCCGATCTCTATAGTTATGCCAAGTTGGCCACTTACATGGATTAAAGGTATTCCTAAACCAAGAGTGTGCTTAATTTATAAACTTCTATCCAGTATATACTGATAATCTCATTAGTATTGGAGCAAGAGGTGTTATTTTCTAAGATTACCTTTAACAAAGTGTTCCTTCCAGTTAAGAAATGTTGAAAAAAGTGAACATCAAAAATATTTCATTTAGTAGCTTTCCATACTGAAGACAAAAACCTTATATATATAAATGGGAGATGAGATAGAACAAGGTGGAGTTTTTAGGAATACAGAGTTACTAGAACAGTTCAACATATGTCTTGATTTAATAGGAGATACCAAATATTCTATAGTTGTAGGATATAGCAGGTCATTAGTCTACACTGCAGAGGCTGTTACAGATACACCATATGATGTATTATTTGGCAGTCCAATGCATTCAGATTTGCCTTCATTTTATTTTTAGAAATCTGCATTGAACAAACTCACAGTATGCTTTTATGGTGTTATCACAAATGTTATTGCTGACTTTGAGGTAATATGTTTAAAAATGCCTTCATAGCCCTAAAATGAATGTTTGACAGTTTGAACAGGTTTCAGTCTTTCAGGATAAACAAACACAAACACACTTGGTACTTTCATTTGTATGTTAATACCCATAGTTCTTTTCCATTTTATAGCTGGTTTATAGTAGTCTTGGTGTACAAGAATGACAACAAATCAAAACGTTTAGGGATGGCTTCTTTGTGAACTAAGTTCTGGCTATAAAGATGTGCTAACTAGGACATGCATAAAAGCAACAACATAACTTCAGCAAACAGTCAAGGAACAACAAGGAACACACATGAAAAAATAGTATTCTAATCAGATAGTCAAGAAAGTTGCCCTATCCTCACTACATCCTACCCTCTTCTGTCTTGAGTTTCTATCATCACCAGAGCTGCTAGCCTAGCATTTGCACTCTCCACCCATATTGTGGCTGGCCACTGTGTAGGAACATAAAGAGGTGGAAGGCTCCTTGTACCCTCACCACTGTGTGTGCAGAAACAGTCAAACTCCGGGTTATAAATTCAAATGAGCTGATTCTTATTTACACTGTGGCCCACTATATAATACTCTGTTAGGTACCAATAATCTGGCCAATTATATTTACACCCACTTTATGCAAACTAAGATGTCCAGAACTGTGTAAAGTGACTGCAGTGTAAACAAACAAACAAACAAAAAAGACTCCCAGTCCTGCTCCCATTTAAGCCAGTGGCAGCCGGACTTGACACCATAACTGTAAAATGGCAAGAGCATTGAGTAGTTTAGAATAATACACCTGCACCATGAAGAACTAATTTTTTTGCTTTGTTTTTTTAAAAATGTAAGTGCAAATTTTGTGTTTATAACTCCCACAAATTCAGAATTACATGCAGCATGACTAAAGAAAGCTGGGTAATTAGAAGCTAGCTAAATGGTAACTGAAGATGAGTGATCTCAAAGTGTTGTTGAAACACCCCTTCTCCCTCAATTCTTCCCACATTGCCAGAATCACAGTGGAAAAGGGAGGGTGGCAGGGCAGTGATGAATAGGAAAACAATGCCTGAAATGCTGGTATGGTATTTAAGCATTTTGTGGAGGAGGACATTCCTTTAAAAAGAGTTCATTTAATTACTTAAGACGAAAAAAGAAAAAGGGAAACTTCTTGTGTGCAACAAAAGAAGTAGTAATGAAGCATCTCCAGAAAGAAAGGAAGCCTAGCAGACCCGCTAATAAATGATTTTTCAGAGTATGTTACTAAAATATCAATCCTTTCATTAAAGAAGGTAATAATGGAGCCTTCCCAACTTCCAGTTTCCAGAAATCATTCTATAGCTCAAGACACTCACGGGCTTGGCCAAGAACAAATATGACATTTGAATAATGCAGCATTCTATAACCAGTGCTGTTGCATGTGATTTTGTTTCAATAATAAATTGACGGCAAATGAAACATGAATAAGCCTATTTTATATTTTGGTGTTATCAACCAGGTGTCTGTTTCTCCTGCCGCTTATAATAGCTTTTGATTGGTGTAATTCCTATTGGCCAGGCAGTTTCACTGGCTTTACATCAGTCTGAGAGCAGAATTTGTCCCATGGACTTACTTCTTCATACTGGTGTGAGAGGAGACTCAGAATGGGAAGTTTAATTAACACAAATTGTTTTTCCAAAGTATTTTTTGAAGAATGTGCCACTTGTTTTGAGTGGCGTTTGCAATATGGATCTGATTTTTTGTTCTAATAAACCGAATTGTTTTCCCTTAAAGTTAATTGGAATTTTGCCAGTGCGTTTAAGGGGCAGAAGCAGACCCTGCATGTGAAAAAAACACTTAATCTCATTTTTTTACTTTTGGTAATGCCTTTTAATGTCTTGTCAATGTTTCAGTAGTATCTCAAATGAGTTTCTGAATAAAAAGAAATCAAAATTGTTTGGTTGGTTTTGCAAATTCTTGCTCACAATAAGAATTAAATTGCTCCTTGCAAGTTTTTCATGTTTTTGTTGTTTTTTTATTCCAGACGGCACTCATACTTTATTATATGGCTATAGTAGGCCATGCTTTGTCTATAACTTCACTATTGATTTCCCTGGGGATTTTCTTCTATTTCAAGTAAGTGTTTCTTTCAGCTTCTGCTTTTTTTTATTTCTTTGACATATTACCAAATGCTAGGAGTGTTTGTGGGCATATAGGGGGACTTGACAGTTATGATCACTTCTCCTTATTATTGTTCCTGATACTACAGGAAGAAATTTATTTGCCCAATTCTTGTGCCAAGTAATCTTAAAGTACCTGGTCACAGGAGGATCTCTCCAATGTACAGGGATCTTTCAGTAGTATACAGCCTGGATCGTACATCACTACCCTCTCTGTAGTTGGCATCCGGGGTGTGGCCAGTGGAAAGGTGGTGTGACTGGGGATTCATTAGGCCTCACTGATTCACCAGTTGCCTATTGACCCTTTGAATATGCTAGTAGCTATTATAATACCAAAGGATCCTACTGGGTTATAATTTGGGGTCCACCACTCTCTGGTCTCAGTTGTATAATACTCTTCATCAACTGCTGATCTGGGCCACAGACCAGAAACCCAGTGCACCTGAAACAAATTACATAGGGTGTAACCATCCTCTGAATTTCATTAGAGGTTATAAAGTGAGATTCTGTGGCAAGAGTTGAAAGGGTCTGGACCACTTGATGTTCATAAAAATATTTGCAGCATCTGTATAGCAGCTTAATTAGGACAATAAAATTGTATGCGTCAGAGTGTAAGTCTGGCAAATAGCTTTTTATGAAGTATCTCTGTCGAAGTAGCCGAGGGATCTCCCTGGGTTCAATATGCTTCAGATATATATTCACAATTTCCATTAACTTCAGTGGGAGTAGTATAGGGCTATTCGAGGACAGAATAGAGCCTGCTGTTTTCAGTAAAGAGAAATGGTAGTCATTAGGGCTGTCAAGTGATTAAAAAAATTAATTGCGATTAATCACACTCTTAACAAATAATAGAATACCATTTATTTAAATATTATTGGATGTTTTCTACATTTTCAAATATATTGCTTTCAATTACAACACAGAATACATAGTGTACAGTGCTCACTTTATTTTTTTTTTTATTTCAAGTATTTGCACTGTAAAAAAACAAAAGAAATAGTATTTTTCAATTAACCAAATACAAGTACTGTAGTGCAATCTCTTTATCATAGAATCGTAGAATATCAGGGTTGGAAGGGACCTCAGGAGGTCATCTAGTCCAACCCCCTGCTCAAAGCAGGACCAATCCCCAACTAAATCATCCCAGCCAGGGCTTTGTCAAGCCTGACCTTAAAAGCCTCTAAGAAAGGAGATTCCACCACTTCCCTAGGTAACCCATTCCAGTGTTTCACCACCCTCCTAGTGAAAAAGTTTTTCCTAATATCCAACCTAAACCTCCCCCACTGCAACTTGAGACCATTACTTCTTGTTCTGTCTTTGGTACCACTGAGAACAGTCTAGATCCATCCTCTTTGGAACCTCGTTTCAGGTAATTGAAAGCAGCTACCAAATCCCCCCTCATTCTTCTCTTCTGCGGACTAAATAGTCCCAGTTCCCTCAGCCGCTCCTCATAAGTCATGTGCTCCAGCCCCCTAATCATTTTTGTTGCCCTCCGCTGGACTCTTTCCAATTTTTCCACATCCTTCTTGTAGTGTGGGGGCCAAAACTGGACACAGTACTCCAGTTGAGGCCTCACCAATGCCGAATAGAGGGGAATGATCACGTCCCTCAATCTGCTGTTAGCCTTCTTGGCGACAAGGGCACGTTGTTGACTCATATCCAGCTTCTCGTCCACTGTAACCCCCAGGTCCTTTTCTGCAGAACTGCAGTCTAGCCACTCGGTCCCTAGTCTGTAGCAGTGCATGGGATTCTTCCATCCTAAGTGCAGGACTCTGCACTCGTCCTTGTTGAAACTCATCAGATTTCTCATGAAAGTTGAACTTACAAATATAGAATTATGTACAAAAAAAACCTGCATTCAAAAATAAAACAATGTACAATTTTAGAGCCTGCAAGTCCACTCAGTCCTACTTCTTGTTCAGTCAATTCCTCAGACAAACAAGTTTGTTTACATTTGCAGGAGATAATGCTGCCCGCTTCTTGTTTACAGTGTTACCTGAAAGTAAGAACAGATGTTCGCATGGCACTGTTGTAGCCAGTGCACAAGATATTTACATGCCAGATGTGCTAAAGATTCATATGTCCCTTCATGCTTCAACCACCATTCCAGGGGACATGCGTCCATGCTGATGATGGGTTCTGCTCGATAACAATCCAAAGCAGTGCGGACCGACGCATGTTCATTTTCATCATCTGACTCAGATGCCACCAGCAGAATGTTGATTTTCTTTTTTAGTGGTTCGGGTTCTGTAGTTTCTGCATCAGAGTGCTGCTCTTTTAAGACTTCTGAAAGCATGCTCCACACCTCGTCCTTCTCAGATTTTGAAAGGCACTTCAGATTCTTAAACCTAGGGTTGAGTGCTGTAGCTATGTTTAGAAATCTCACATTGATACCTTCTTTGCGTTTTGTCAAATCTGCAGTGAAAGTGTTCTTAAAATGAATAACATGTGTTGGGTCATCATCCGAGACTGCTATAACATGAAATATATGGCAGAATATGGGTAAAACAGAGCAGGGGACATACAATTCTCCCCCAAGGAGTTCAGTCACAAATTTAATTAACACATTATTTTTTTAATGAGTGTCATCAGCATGGAAGCATGTCCTGTGGAATGGTGGCCGAAGCATGAAGGAGCATATGAATGTTTAGCATATCTGGCACGTAAATACTTTGCAATGCCAGCTACAAAAGTGCCATGCGAATGCCTGTTCTCACTTGCTGGTGACATTGTAAAATAAGAAGAGGGCAGATTTATCTCCTGTAAATGTAAACAAACTTGTTTGTCTTAATGATTGGCTGAACAAGAAGTAGGACTGAGTGGACTTGTAGGCTCTGAAGTTTTCATTGTTTTCTTTTTGAGTGCAGTTATGTAACAAAAAAAATCTTACATTTGTAAGATGCACTTTCACAACAAAGAGATTGCTCTACAGTTCTTGTATGAGGTGAATTGAAAAATACTATTTATTTTGTTTATCATTTTTACAGTCCAAATATTTGTAATAAAAAATAATATACACTTTGATTTCAATTACAACACAGAATCCAATATATATGAAAATGCAGAAAAACATCCAAAATATTTAATAAATTTCAATTGGTATTCTATTGTTTAACAGTGCAATTAAAACTGTGATTAATCATGATTCATTTTTTTAATCACGATTCATTTTTTTGAGTTAATTGTGTGAGTGAACTTCAATTAATCGACAGCCCTAGTAGTCACCCTAACTCGAAACAGCATCTTTAACAGTTTAAGTACCCCAGTTTATTCTTACCTAATTTTTGATTGTATTTAGAGTATCATGGATACCAATGTATGGTAATACTTGGTCAGTGATGACTTCTTAATGGCAGCTGCTGTGTGTGTGTGTGTGTGTGAGAGAGAGAGAGAGAGAGAGAGAGAGAGAGCACGCATTACAAGGAAGATGTTCAAACATAAAGATGAATCATTGGGGAAGATTCTCATCTGGGGTAAATCTGCATTGACTTCACTGAAGCTATGCTGATTTACACCAGATGTGTTGTTCTTAAGCAACATTAGTATAGTACTTGCTTTCATCATACTATAATAAACTAAACCTGCAACACTGATAGTGTGTCTCTAAAAGTGCTGCGCTAGTGCATATTCACAAATATTTTGGTGAAACAGAAGGAATGACCCAGACAAGTTTTAAAAAAGCATCTGGGGTTAGGGACCAGGTCCACAGCTGATACTATACCAGTCAACACCAGGTGAGGATCCATCCCCAGAACTCTAACTCACAAATAGGGAAATGTGCGCCATCATCACAACACAACCAAAACTAATTGCAGGACAATTGCAAATTTGAATGACTAGTTAAATATTTCCAAATCTGCGTGATAAAAAGCCACTCAGAAAAGCTTTCTCCACTCCACACCACAACGAAAGCATAGCAATTTTAAAAGTATGTCTGCATCAGAACAAATAATGCGCACAATTATATCCTACTGGAATTTCAGTTCCAGAATAAGTTTGCATCTTTCAAGAGCTGAACAGAAAGAAAGCAACATCAAAACCGATGAAGCTAATTGCAAAACATATATATATATATATATAAAGACATCAAGAGTATGAAAAACAGGAAATATGACAAACCTCTTTCTCTCTAAAAAGGTTCTTATACAGTGCATAAGAAAGTGTCATTGCACAATTACTATCAGTAGTAATTAAAAATCTGCCAGCTTTTTATTATAAACCCATATTTATTTGGAGACGATAATTTAGCCTTAAAAATTCACTTCAGGCTAAAACAAACTATCCGTTAGTTATGCTGGTGCACAAACCAGGATGATTTGGTGTGACAAGGTGCCATATCATTTTCAGTATTTTTAGTACTGGGAAGTGATTGAAAGCCAATCTGGAAGCAGTCAAGGAGGTTGTGTTGGGAGACTAGGTCAAAAGATGGGAAAATATCTTGCTCTCCAAATCTCTGCCAAAGAAAATCAGGCTGAAGATGAGATGGTAGTTAACCAGTGAAGAGACAGGAGTGGAGGAGGGATAGAAAGTTGGAGCAGTTTTGTTTATGGGAGAGAAAAACCCACTGGGCATGGACTATTTAATGATTGATGGCAGTGATTTGAAACACATGGTTAAGGAGGCAATAGTTCAACACAGCTAAAGATCTAATCTTAGATATGTGTCCCTTAATTTTGTTTTCGGCTTCTAGACAGTTTGATGAAGGGTAGGTACGTTAGAAGGATAGATGTTAGAGGTGTACAAGGGAGAAAACTCTGTTTCTTTTAGATAAAATTGTGCCCAAATTTAAAATGTGTTAATTTTGCTTGTGTTTCTTTGATCCAAATTTCACCTGCATATATATTGGCAATATCCAAAGCATATGGGCCAGCTCCTCAGCTAGTGTAAATCAACTTATCTTCTTTGACATCTTTGGAATTATGCCACTAGCTGAGAATATGGCCCTGAGTCTAATAG